CGGATATTGGTTATGAAATTAGATGTTACGATGAAACATAGTAAAATTAATTGTGGTCTTAGTCCAAATACAATGGCCACTATCGGAAACATGTGCTTCAGCCCGCCGACAACGTGACGGTTTTATAACGGAAATCACTGAGTAAGTAAAGCGTAAATAAATCTAACGGCTCTCTTTATATTTAAAGGAATCCATTACTATCATAATTTGTAGATCTAATATCTCTAATTGACGATCATGTATAGATAAATGTTTCAATTATATTATGATAACCTCTTAAAATATATGAGATCTCTTTTAAGTATGGTATGTTAAGTTAGCTTGCCATAGAACACACGCTACAAATGTATTGATGTGAACTTGCACCGAATCTACACTTACCTATCGATCATCGGATCATGTTGACATTACATAATGCTAATACCATTTAAAATACGTGTTTACAGTCTACATAGAAAGCTCTCTTAAAACACAGAACAGCCACGTCATTGAGAGTTTTAAGTGCAATCGTGTTCTATGTAAATACAAAACGTTTTTACTTTAAACCACTTTTACTGTACCAACGCACTCATGAGTGGTTATCAAAACCAGGACAAGGAACGCACAGGCCTGTGACGTATTTTTCATAATTAATGCATCGTTTGGCGCAGTCCTCCAACACAACAATGTTTTGTGTAACCATTACTGTAAAGGTAAATAACAGAAAAACCTCTATATAAAGTCACTCTGTTATTACAGAAAAACCTCTATACAATGTCACACCGTTATTAAAAGAGAAAACATCTATACAATGCCCCATGTAATTTCAGTAATGCCTCTATAGAATGTCCCTCTTTAATTAATTTCAAGTCAAACCTATACTGTATAACGGTTATATTTCGTGGGGGGGGGGGGGGGGGGGGGGGGGGGAGGTAATTTCGCTATTTGCGTGCTTTGAATAATATTCGCGAATTCTAAACACCAGCGAAATTATCGAAATTGTTGCACTTTTACGGACCTTATCACAGTTGAAAATACTTATAACCCAATGCTGTTCTGCAAGCTTAAATGAATCCAAATCAGATTACCACCTGACAACTGTGATAAATTGATTACAGTTTACTCCTATAAAGGTACTAACACATTTGATTTGCTTTCGAGTGAAGTCACTGGTGGAGGACAACGCTCGGGATCGTCTGTTTTAACAAGAAACCCTCTATAAAAAGGCCTTCTGTTATGACTCTTACAGTAAAACCTGTATTTAATGTCACTCCGTTATTACTTTTACATGAAAACGGTAAAATCTTTGTACATTTTGTATAATGTTTCTCTAATATTACAGTAAAACCTCTATGTAATGCCCCGCTGTTATTAATTTTTATGGAACCCTCTAAATAACGTCTCTCTGATAAAACAGTAAAACCTCTGTAGAATGTCCCTCTGTTAATACTCTTTTAACAGTAAAACATTCTAAAAAATGCCCCTCTGTTATAAATACAGTGAAACCTCTATATAATGTCCCGCTGTTATAAATACAGTGAAACCTCTATATAATGTCCCGCTGTTATAAATACAGTGAAACCTCTATATAATGTCCCGCTCTTATAAATACAGTGAAACCTCTATATAATGTCCCTCTATTATAAATACAGTGAAACCTCGATATAATGCCCCGATGTTATTAATGAAAAATCTCTATTTAAAGTCACTCGGTTATTACTATAATAGTACAGTAAAACCTTTATAGAATGTCCCTCTGTTATCAGTCTTACAGAAAAACCTCTGTAAAACCTAAATAAAATGTCCCGCGGTAATAACAGTTTAACATATATGTGGTGTCCCTATATTATTACAGTAAAACATCTATGTAATATCCCTCTGTTTATACTGTAGAACCTGTAAATAACGTCACTGTTAATTTCTTACAGTAAATCCCCTGCATAATGTGCCTTTGTAATTGCAATAAAATCTGCGTATAATGTCCATGTATTATTACAGTAAAATTTCTGAATAACACCCTTCTTTCATATGAGTGAATCCTCTACATGATGGCCTATTTTTACTTTTATAGAAAACTCTCAATATAATGCCCCTCTGTTATTTCAGTAAAATCTCTAAATTGTCCCTCTGTTTTAACAATAAAGCTTCTACACTGTATATGTACAGAGGGGGCCGCAACCTTATAACAGTAAAAAACTATGTATAATGTCTCTCTGTAACCACTTTAATGAAACACCCTCTTTCAAATGCCCCTATGTTATTAAAAATACCTCTATGTAACGACCCTCTGTTTATACAGTTATGTTAAACCTCTTAATAATGTCCCTGTTACTTTTCTTACAGTAAATCCCCTGCATAACTCTTATGTAGTTGCAATATAATGTTCAACTGTTGTTGACTTTTTAAGTAAAACTGTAAAATAATGTCACCATACAGTAGAGCGTATGTGTTAAAACTATTTGTTTAGCACTAATGTATATAAACTTGATATAGTGACCCTTGTGTTGAATTAGTACAATGACCGGCGTTTATTAATGCACAGTTTATTTTTGTTATTCATTTTTCAAAGATTGTTTACATTGTCATTTAAGTAAGTAACATTGTTTTTGACAGACAGACAGACAGACAGATATACAAATCTAAATTCTGTCGATTAATAAAACTACGGAAATGTCACTGATTGTACTGTTGACACTGAAGTTAAATAAGTCCAATGATACGACGCCATATTTGACATCCACAGGTCATTTTATAAAGTAAAGGGCTGGGTACAAAACCGCAGAGGGGAGTAATTTCGCTACTGTAAATAAACAAACAGACTATCGAATCTGAATTGTTCAGACAACAACAAACAGCATGTGGAGTTATATATCAGCCTCTCAGTAGAGGTGCTAAAGAAAGATGACGTCGTATACACCAGTTCTGTTTTGATAGCCAGCTCGATCTCCAAAAACTTGTTTGTTCGATCAGGAATTTCGACTAAAGCAATGGGATTGCTTTTAAGCTAGCAATGGAGATTGACCAAAAACGTCACGACGCCCTCATCGAAATACACAGGATCCACGTCCGATACACAGATCATCACTTAATTCTATGAATATTTCCTGATGAAACAGTAAGCTCACAGTAAGGTATAAAACCCTGACCAATCGCTAGGGTGATATTTTTTCTTTGACTATTACAAAGGTGCTTTACCAAAAGCCTGTCAATCTTTTCGTTATGCCACCACGCGAATAATTTAATTGATGTTTTATGAATCGCAGAGTACGTTCTACATTTCACAATGGTTTGGCCTAAAATCATCTATTCATAAATATGAAAGGAATACATTGATAAGTGAGGTTGTAATAAAATAAGTCAAACAATTGTACCACATCCTCAGTACAAATAGTTCCGAGCTGTAGGTCAATACAAGATTCCAACAACAGGAAGGACACGACAAAACAAAAAGTGAAAGAGTCATGAACCTTCATAGTAAAATATGAATCAGATTCGATTGACATTGTAAATACCACCTCAATGCTGATGCTAGACTAGTGTAAAAAAATGTTGCGATGAAAACAAAATATGTGTAAACACAGAAAAAAACAAAAATCATGCATGTTACTACTTCACAGAAAAATTGTAAATTAACAGAAGAATTGTCCGCTGTTATCAACAATATAAACATTGAAAATGTAAAATGTGAAAAACTTTTGTGGGTGTCCATAGATGATTGGCTCTCTTGGGACATTCAATTTACAAATGTCTATAAAAAGATATCATGTCATATTTTTCAGATGAAAACGTTGAGACCCTTTCTGATCCGTCATCTTGTATGACTTTTTTAACTGCTTTGTTAACCCATATCTGGATTATTGCTCAACTGTTTGGGGTAACAGTTCAAAAAGTAATATTGTAAAATTAGAACGCTGCAAAAGAGAGCAGCCAGAATTATTTTAAATTTGATTTTTCCACACCTTCCTGTGATATTTTCAAAAAACTAAAGTGGTTACCTTTTAACAAAAGAATTTTATACAATCAAGTAGTTTTTATGTACAAGATACTTAATAATTTAGCTCCACAAAATTTGAGTAATTTTACGTATATGTCTGATGTTCAGGGTAGAACTACAAGATCATCATCTACCTATGTGTTTTACTTGCCATGTCATAAGACAAACATTTTTAGAAAATCTTTTAGATATCAGGGACCCCTTACATGGACTCTTTTACCAAGTCATAATATAAATTGTACTTCATTTTTAGAATTTAAGAGATCTGCAAAGCAATTTTACTTGAAATGATTTATGATTTCCTCCCTTATTCTGTATTTTATACATGTATATTTCTTAAAACTGTAAATATTGTACATTTTATCATACATTGTATGTTGACCATACGTAAGATAAGCTTCATGCTCAATATGTTATCAAGAATAAATAAAGCCTTTATTATTTTTATTATAAAACGAATAGCCTTTAACGCTTAGTAAATATATTAAGGAACTTGTTTTTCAATAATATCTAAATCTATTCCATTTATTATATTTTTCGTTTGTCCGTGCTATCATTTGTTTACTAAGGACGGTGTATTATAATTATACCATTGATCCTAGCTAAACATTTTTCTGATGTTGAAAGCGTGGGAATAAAATGAGATCGTAAAAGAGAATTTTATGATTATAATTGTATTGTTACAACACTGGAATTTTACTGAGCTATAACTTCCGACCTATATTACTTCAAACAAGAACATAAACGATCAATTACTCTTCATGTAGTTTAACAGTCGAATTGTTGACTTAAGACGCCGATACTGGTAGTTCAAGATTATAGGCTTTTACAAATCAAGACTGTGGGGATGGTTATGGCACTAACGGATAAAAATCGTTCCAATTTCGACAGCGATTTTACAGACTATCATTAATCTGTTCCTTCCGGACTGGGACAACACTCTGTATGGGAGTTCCGGTGTGATGACGTGAGTAGAAAGCTATGTTACCGACTAATGACTGAGTAAGGGAGGGAGTCAGTCTGGTTTTACAGTTGGAGTAGTACTGACGGGCTTCGATGGTGATACTGTGCTAGTTTATATGGTAACATTTAATGTAAGGTGACTTTCTAATTTTAACAAATCTTCAGAACTGTTTCATTGAGAGATAATGACTATAGGAATGCTTGCATATTTAAACCCAGAAAATTATAAAGCTTGGATTATATGTAAAACATCTTCTGACCAAAACATATAAATATGGCCTTTAATGCTTTGTAAAGTTGAAGATTTTTCTTACGTGATGGGGACCCTATAAGACAGATTAGTGTATTAATGTCTAAGAAATAAGTGAACCCTCTCTGGGAACCTGTAAGTCAAATTTATTTTTTTAATATATACTCAGAAAACATGATAGGTCCTTTACTAGCATATGACAAAATAACTAAGATAAGACCTAATGGCATTTTTGGCTTAGAGAAATCAAAATGTCATTTACAAGATTAAAGTAAAGAGAAAACAAACTATTGTAGTTTTGCATTACAGCAGACAACATTTACCGAACCGGATTTATATAGACACAGAAGGTACCGCCGAGCGAGGACGGATCCATACAGTTCCCGTTTAAAATGTATCTTCAGCAACATTGGTGGCTGCGATTTCACTGCTGTTTTGTCTGCCTCGCAGGTAGGTCATCTTCACAATTTATAAGTGGGTGTATCGTTATGAAGGCTGGGGTAGTTAAAATCCCTAAATCAGTGTATGTTTGGAGTTACGGTGCCTGGGTATGCAAGTGTTTGTTTAGAGTTAAGGTGCCTGGTTCAGTGATTGTTTAGAGTTAAGGTGCCTGGGTCAATGATTGTTTAGAGTAAATGTGCCTGGGTCAGTGATTGTTTAGAGTTAAGGTGCCTGGTTCAGTGATTGTTTAGAGTTAAGGTGCCTGGGTGAGTGATTGTTTAGAGTAAATGTGCCTGGTTCAGTGATTGTTTAGAGTTAAGGTGCCTAGTTCAGTGTTTGTTTAGAGTAAAGGTGCCTGGGTCAGTGATTGTTTAGAGTAAAGGTGCCTGGGTCAGTGTGGGTTCGGAGTTAAGTTGTCCGGGTCAGTATTTATTTAAAGTTAAGGTGCCCGGATCAGTGTTTGTTTAGAGTAAAGTTGCCTAGTTCAGTGTTTGTTTAGAGTAAATGTGCCGTGTTCAGTGATTGTTTAGAGTAAAGGTGCCTGGGTCAGTGATTGTTTAGAGTTAAGGTACCTGGGTCAGTGTGGGTTCGGAGTTAAGTTGTCCGGGTCAGTATTTGTTTAGAGCTAAGGTGCCTGGGTCAGTGTGGGTTCGGAGTTAAGTTGTCCGGGTCAGTGATTGTTTAGAGTTAAGGTGCCTGGGTCAGTGATTGTTTACAGTAAAGGTGCCTGGGTCAGTGTGGGTTCGGAGTTAAGTTGTCCGGGTCAGTATTTGTTTAGAGCTAAGGTGCCTGGGTCAGTGTGGGTTCGGAGTTCAGTTGTCCGGGTCAGTGATTGTTTAGAGTTAAGGTGCCTGGGTCAGTGTTTGTTTAGAATAAATGTGCCTGGTTCAGTGATTGTTTAGAGTTAAGGTGCCTGGGTCAGTGTTTGTCTAGATCAAAGGTGCCTGGTTCAGTGTTTGTTTAGAGTTAAAGTGCCTTGGTCAGTGGGTTAGTGTCTCGAACAGTTATTCAATTATTTACTTATTAAATGAGACGTTCTCTTCGTTCCGTCAATGCATTGTTACTCGTACAATCTTCTAAGTGTTTCGTACAGTGTATTGGAACCACTTATATACCAGTAGTCAAGACAGTTTTATTTGTTTACATCATTTGACTCTGAATATTTCTTATCTCTCCATTTTACCAAGAACTGGTCACTTGTTACATGACAGGTATTTCATATACCGCTTCACTGTAATCTTTTCTTAGTAAGTTTTATAAAAGTACTCGCACAAATCCGTTATCGACGGATAACAGATATCAGCAATGATTCCAAATGATATCTATTTGTTCTGTCACAATAACAAATGATATCTATTTTTCTATTTTTTCTGGCACACAAACAAATGATATATATTTTTTAAGGCACAATATTTTAGACAACTCGTAAAAAACAACCCAAGAGTGATAATTATTTAATTAAGACGTTACGAGGGGGATTGATTTTAAAAAGTCAATCCTTAGCTGAATAAAAAAAACTCTCAAGTGAAGAACATTCAACGATATTAAACAAACGCTTGAGCTTTTACTGATGGCTTTGATTGGCTTCAATGACTAAGCTGGCTTTCGTATGCTGTGTTACTACTGTTTTCGTTGCAGTAGGTTGCTATGCCATCGACCCAGGGTGTAACGGTTTCCCGGAAGCTCGTGTAGATGATCGTCGCTATGATGGCGACCTACTTGAGAGTCTGTCCCCTGTCGGATACCAGCAGTGTCGGAAAAGATGTCGGGCGAGGCATGTCTGTCTCGGTATCAATTATAATAGAGAGCTGTTGCTGTGTGAACTTGTTAGGATAACCACGTCCGTATCGGCACCACTCACGGTCGTTCCCGGATACAGTTTTACCGATCTTAATGTCACTGACGTCATTCCAGCCCAGGTATTGTATTGTGCTTCAATCAAACAGAGGTTTGAATATCATTTCTGATTTATTCCTTGCCTTACAAACCGAAAGAATACGTTGTCTAAATGATAGGAGTTGATAAGGACTATGTTTTCACAGTATTAGGTAAAATCTAGATCCCGAGTATTAGTTAAAGGAACAGTTCTGCAAAACAATAATTTAAAAAAATGAGAAAATAAAACGTTAGCGCTGCAAAGGAACACAATAAATAATTACCTTACAGCATAACCCGTATTCCGTCTTTGCGTATTGCAGAGTTATCTTCTCTTGGGAGCAGGTAGTGATTGTGACGTCACTTGTTTGTGAGAGTAACGTCATCAATTTTTGAGAAAACGACGTAATTTTCTCACACAAACCAATGACGTAACAATCAATACCTGCTCCGAAGAGAAGATAACTCTGCAATACGCAAAGACGGAACAATTATAAACTGGGATATAAATAAAAATGTCATTGATTAGTTCGTATATAATTAATTGTTTGGAATGTCTCCCATTTTTTATCACTTTAAATCTCTAAAATCATACTCCAAATAACAGTGGTGATAGGCGTACATAATGTAGCTCGTTAATCAAACCAGCGATAACTTCGGTGACCCTTTGACTACCCATCTCTTAACCTAAACACCACTAACCTCGATGACCCTATGACCACCCATAATCAATTGAGTTGTATAAATAACCTTGGGAGGGTGGGAGAGAACGCTTGTTTCTCTACATAAAGACCACTAATCTGATTGTTTCTATACCTGTAAACCACTAATCGTGTGGTATTATTACCGGAACACCACTTCTCTAGGTAGGGAGTAGTGGGTAGGGGAGAGACTTGCTTGTTATCGCACCTCTGTGATTTGAGGTAGTTAAGTAAAAACATTGATCAGAAATGCATTGAATAACTTTCAACTCTCGTAACAAAAGTCTATATGCACAAGCATAACTTATTCAGTGTTAATATAAGCCGTATTCGACGTGTTCTGGTGTAATGAAATTTTTGTTTGCAAATTCGCACAGTCTCCATCCATAACACAAGATAATAAATTCTGGTCTGATTGTCAGTAAAGCAGTCAGTCGATTTGAGTATGGGATTCCTTTATTGTCATGGATATCCCAACATAGATGTCTGGTTACAAGGAGCACATGTATAGGATTCCTGTCTCACTGCAGGCACTGACGTCTCATCCACTGTATTTTTTCGTATATTCAGTAGCCTCCCCTTAATTGAATTTTAAAATATAACTGGACCAGATGTTGAAGAAATAGCTCAGCTAGTTAGAGCGACAGCATAATGGGTAAAGGTTTAACGTTCAAATCCGCGTAATCTTGTTGCTGATTATTTACTTTTTTTTATTTTATTTCAATTTTGTTTCATAACATGTTCCACAAGATGGGTATCTTTCAGAAATTTATTTATTAACACCATAGCCATGAAAATTAATTCGTTGTAGCAGTTTATTTACAGTGGCGTGGGGACCTTAAGTAAATTATACCTGCATCGCACCTCACTTTCGTCTTGAGGTTTCCTGTTCAATATTTAGAAGTAATTAATAAATCAGTGTACATTTAAACCTGTAGATATTTAATTGCTAACAAGTTGAATTCTGTTTTACGTACTATGCTTATAAATAACGTTTCTTAGGAAATTTGCCGGAAAGATTCCTGTCCTGAACAGCATATGTGTATAATATTGAAGTCAACAGGCAATCTGACATGTGTGGATGACTACAATGCAGGTATGTTACACTGACGCTTAAGGCATAATTGTACATACCTTAATAACCAAAGATTTGGTATAAAGTTATATAAATCAATCTACATACATTGATTCCGTCACCCAGTGTGATACATACGTCAATATGTTAGTTACAAAGGGTTTAACGTCCTATTCAAAACTAAGGTAATTTGAGAAGGTACCCCCCATGTGTGTTGTGTATGCATGCACGTGTGTAAGTGTGCTGGCGGAAGGGCATGTTGGGTGTATGTGTTTGCTTGTGAAAGCGCGGATCTGATGCCGCCTATGAAGTGCTATCGCACTGAAATACATGCCAAATGCACCCGGCACAGAATTCCATCCAGTCACATAATAATGACAACGGGTGAACCAGTTGTTGATATTACACTAAATGCTGAAAGTTAAGCAGGGAATAGCAACTACCATATTTAAGGACTTTGGTATGTCCCGGCCTGGGGACAGAACCCATTGCCTTCCTAACCTTGGCGGAGTTTGTACTCTAAAGCCAAAAATGCCATGTAAGGCGCTTAGAAATAAAACCAATCTAGACGGAAAGAGATAAATACTCATCCCAAATATTGCCATGTGTGCAGCAGATTTATTTTTGTCGCTTTCGTGTCTACAAGTAGAGGGCACAAAAGAAAATTCGCAATTCATGATCTCCTTAATTCTTTCTTTGAAGACGTTGCTATTATTATTTGTGTATATTTTCAAGAGCTTCATGTAAATCTTTCTGTTCGTCATATATCACTCTCGTTTCATCGACTATGAGCTCGATTTACAGTTTTGTTTGCACTGTCCTAGGTCACCTTTGGTGTCTCTTGACGGAGGTCGCCTATGTGTGGCTTATTAGACAGTTATTTGATTGTTTTGATGGTGTTTCAGTGTCGACAACTACAACCACGATGCTGCCAACAACGATAACTACAACACCTACAACAACAACAACTACAACACCGACAACAACAACTACTACAACAACAACTACAACAACAACACCGACAACAACAACACCGACAACAACAACTACCATTTCAGGTAAAGTACCTCGTTTGATTTTTGTATTGACTTAGCAACCCCTCGTTTGTCATCGGTGTTACTTTGATTGCTTTCACATAGCTAAGTCTTTAAGAGTGTCGTCGTTCCATCACACGTTATTATTCTTTTAATATGGTCAACGTAGTTAAACAATACACTAAAAGACACACAAGTGAAACTCCAACAAAATTTGGTGACGGAAACAGCTTGCCTTATATGAATGTCACTACACCATACGGCTGTTTCGTCTTTCTAAAACACATCCGTGATGCGTAGGGGGAGGGTGCATATCGTTGGAAATCAAATTGGTCTAAACTATTGTTGGAACCGAAAGGGGATAATAATTAAGGTTAAATACCTACAGAATATGAAATATTATGAAATTATTAAAAGTAATGTCTTCCTGGATTGGAATTAACGGGAATTTAAGCAGAAGAGCGATTTTATTGAAGTCCGGCCTAAACCATATAACGCAATTTACATTAAAAAGTAGTGTTTTTCAACTTCAGTTAAATAAAAGAAATGAACAGTACTTCCAATTTTGGAAGTTGCAGATATATAAAATAAATCTAGTTTATGTGATAGGTTCAACACGAAGTGGTTGTGAGTCTGGAGATTTTAGTTTTGAGGCGAGTGTGGATTTGTGTTACCGTCTTGTCGCCAGTCCTTCTGTTTGGTGGGCGTCTCGACATTATTGTTCTGAATACAATAACGGAAGACTTATGATTCTGGATTCTGCCACGAAGATACAGTTCATACATAGCCTCATTTCGTCGTCCACATATTCAGGTAACAGCAATGCAATTAAATACGTGTCGAAGAGGATCTCAGATGAGAACCAGGGTTGATACCAATGTAATGAATAAGTGTTTATGTTGAATTTTGTGCATGAATGACCTCAAAACACAAACACATGTGTGACTGTCCAGTCCATCTCACGTCTTATTTCCCGACTTGGTTCCCCTCCTCGATACTCCAATGTCACCCCTTAATCTTCAGAGGACAGGTTTCAGGTTAACGATTGGTCAGGTCTCTTTCACCTGAGATCATTCAAATAGAAAGTCGCATGCCTTCAATTTGGGATACAGAGTCTCGTGGTTGCTTAGTTCTCTGTCGACGTTGTTATTCCATACCACACGTGTACAAACTAATATATATGCAAAAGAGCCCGGAAAGTGGACATTTATTCCGGAATTGTTATTCAGCATTATCAACAGCACAAACTCTACAAAAATGTATATTATATTTCTGTTAATATATGCAAAGTACCAAATTTTCCTTACAAATTCAAATAGAACAATATTTGCCTTTCATCATGGATTGATGACGTCATCTCGTGAGTGAAATATACCATGAATTATAAGTTGCCACACAAGGAATGGCACTGTAGCAATATATCGTTGGCTTTAGTTTCCTTGAGTGCTGTAATGTATACCTTGTATATTGAAACGCAAAGGTGTCTTCTAATTATAGTAGGAGTATATATATGTTAGTATTTTGTTATAAGATATAGTAAGTTATCATTATAGATTTTTCTTGTATCTTGACGAACCGTCAAATATATCTCTACAATGCTGTCCCTGCAGGTAGGGCGTAAGAATTGTACCTGCTGCCCCCAATTGCATGATCGTAAGAGGCGACTAAATTTGGTACCTTATCTCTTCTCTCCTTTCTAAATAACTTTCTTCTTCCTAATGTCTCCCTTGACAATGCCTCACTTTTGGCCATTTGTTGAGCGTTCGCCCCTGTGAGGAAGGCTTTGGGTTCTGTCCCCTGGCCGAGACATACCAAAGTCTTTAAAAATGGTAGTTTATACTCCTGCTTAACGCTCAGCAAATTAGGAGTGGGACGACTGGTTCGCCCGTTGTCAGTATAATGTGACCGGGTGGGGCGTCCTGCTGGGTGTCTTCGGCAGTATGTTTCAGTGAGGTAGCACTATAAAGTCGGCATCAGTTCCGCGCTATTACAAGAAGACAAACACGAACATATCGCAGCCTCCCAAAATACACACACATACACTANTCTACAATGCATGTAATGGTGATATGTTATAAACAAACTCGCCCAACAACTTAGGTCTAATTGGAGAGTGAACCCGGCTTTTGTCAAATGATTATTATTCTTAAAAACAAAAAGGTCTGATATAACTGCTACTTTCGATTATTTAGAATTAAATGTGTTTCGCTTTCTAGCAACAAATACAACAAGAGGCCCAAAGGGCTTGCATCGCTCACCTGGTACAGTATTAATCTCATAGTAGTAACCTTAAAAGTGTGAACTTAAATAAAGCTACAGAAAAAATATCAGTGTCTTGACTTAGAGTCTTTCAAAAGAACCTGTTCAATGATTTTAACACATTTGACCCCTTTGACCATGAAAGTCAAATATGGAAATTAAGTTGAACAAACTGTATAGCACTTCATTCCAGAATGAAAATTGCCAAATATCACCACCCTATATATATTTTTTATTGAGAAGATGACTTTAGAAGATGTGTGCACAATTGACCAAATGTGACTGAAAGAGAGTCAAGGTCATTCACATGAACAAACAATCACCCTGGGAGTTTTGTTTTTTTAAACATTTCAACATATGTGACCCCTGCGGGCTTGAATATGGGCGAATGTCATCTATTTAAACAAACTTGGAAGCCTTTCATCCCAGCATACTTCTGGCTAAATATCATTAGTCTGCCCCTTTTGGTTATACAGAAAATGTTGTTTAAAAGTTTTTAAGACAATTGATCCCTGTAATCTTGAATATAAGTCAATGTTATTGATATGAACAAACCTTGTAGCCCTTTAGTCGAGCATGCTACTGGCCAAATATTATCCTGGGCCTTTTGGTTATTCAGAAGAGGCCGCTCTATAGTATTTTTAAGACACCTGACCCATGTGACCTTAAAATACGGGCAAATGTCATTCATTTGAACAAGCTTGGAAGCCTTTTATCCTGGCATACTTCTGGCCAAATATCATCACCCTAGACCTTTTAGTTATTCAGAAGGAGTCGCTTTATAATGTTTTTTAGACAACTGACCCCTGTGACCTTAAACTACGGGCGAATGTCATTCATTTGAACAAACTTGGTAGCCATTCTTCCCTGCATGCTACTGGTCAAATATTATTCTGGCCCTTTTGGTTATTCAGAAGAAGTTTTTTAAATGTTTTGACCCCTGTGACCTTGATTTATAGGTCAAGGTCATTCATTTGAACAAACTTGGTAGCCCTTCATCCCAGTTTGTTACTGCTCTTTTATCATTAACCTGTTCTTTTTGGTTATTCAGAAGAAGCTGTATCAAGGTTTTGAACATATTTGAAACTTGTGACCTTGAATACTGGTCAAGGTCATTCATTTTAACGAACTTGGTAGCCCTTTATGCCAATATGTTATTGGTTAAATATCATCATCCTGGGCGTTCTGGTTACTCAATAGAAGATGTTGAAATTTTAACATATTTGACCCATGGGACATTGAATATAAGCCAAGGTCATTCTTACCAGCATGTTACTGGCAAAATATCATCACCCTGTGCCTTTTGGTTATACAGAAAAAGTTGTTTAAAGTAAAAAGCTGACGACGGACGGACGAATGACGGACGACGGACGTCGCATCATGGCACAAGCTCGCTTGGCCATTCCGGCCAGGTGAGCTAAAAACTGAGTGATTTTATTTTCATCTTTCTCGCAGAATTGTTGCAGTAGACACAGGATTTGCCAGATGCGTTATCATTTTCTAGTTACGACTCTGAAAAACCTGTAATAATTTCCTCACAAGAAGTTACTCATATCAAATTTATATATTTGGGCACGGCGGAGTTGAACTGGATCAAAACAAGATGTTTTCAGAAATCCTATATGCATATATGTACTCTTTTTGCAGCTTATTTGAAATGGTGGATTGACGGTTCAAAGCCAGATGATAGCTCTCAATTCACATGGAGCACAGGCGCAGCAGTGTCACCACAACCGACATCTGAAGGCGTAGGCCGACTCAACATGGTGATCAAAGATAATGGCGATTTCTACGACGAAGATCCTTTGACGGTCCGACCTTACATTTGCGAAGAGCATGCTGAGTAATGCTCAGATGATGATGTGTATTTTGATGAGCTGGTGCCCCCTACTGGACTAGGTACGCCATTAAAGAACTTGACCTGCTATAGCTCACTAAGTTTGAATTTCAGAAAAGCGATTTCAGATATCTTTTCACCTGTTTTTGCAGATTTAACACTTGATATAAAAAAAGTTCTGCCTTTAACCTTTTTTAATATTTCTAAAACAGCCACAAATTTTGGGGTTCTTGTGCTCTTTCGTTGACTCATAATTATTATAAGTGCTATTTTTCACCTTTTTGGGGTCAAAAATGAAAGTGCTATAGTTACACTAGGTATGTCGAAAAATACCAATCATGTATAATTTTCCACTTTATTGCATATCATTGTCATCGAATGGAACATAATAAAGTTATACAGCAAGAATGAACTTGCTAAAATCAAACAAAACGACACAATGACGATTAAAATGATCATTCTTGTGTCAAAAAAGGTGAAATTTTCGTCTTTCGTGAAGCGCAAGAAAAACAATTTTTCAAAATGGCCGCCAAATTGGTAATGTTTTTAAATTCTTGTAAAAAAGGTTCTACAAACAACAGGCATCTAGTTTTTAGATATTTTTCAGATTTGTGTTTGCTTTTAAAATTGATCATAATCTTTAAATATTACAAAAATCTGTTATACGAGATCAAATCGAGACTTGAACGTGATTGAAAACTCAGAAGAGTACAGCATTTACTCAATCAGTACCACCTGCAACAGGAGAGCGATTTATTGGCTTTCTAACGGTGATATATGATACAGGTTTAACTGAGTAAGTTCTTAATCGATAACTATGGTTAACATTGATGTTTTATT